TCTTCTCCTTTGGTCCCTTCTCTCCCTCTCTATCTCGCTCTCTTTCTCTCTCTTTTCCTCCTCTATTTCTCTTTATTTCTCTCCGCTCTTTCTGCCACTCTTCTCTTCCCTCTCCCCCGCACCCCCCCCCCCCTTTCTTTCTTCCTTCTCCCCTTCCTTTCCTCCTCCTCATCTCTCTCTCTATCTCTCTCTCCCTCTCTTTCTCTTTCTCTCACTCCTCCCTCTTTCTCTTTTCTCACTCTCTTTCTTCCCTCCCTCCTCCCTCTCTCTGTGCACGCACTGTCAGTCAGTCCAATGATTACTTGTCCAGATCTGGCAGTTTTTAATCATTTTATCTGTCTCTCTCTCCCGGGAGATGGGCAGTAGTGTTTAGCAGTCGGCCACAAAGACCTTAGGGCGATTTTAAGCGGTGGTAGCTCATAGCTTACATTATTAGGTTTGCTGTGAGGGGAACTGCTTCCCATCTCCCACAGGGAGTGGTGTGAGAAATTAACAGCAACTGTAATTACTCCATTGATATTCTCCACACTTATAGCTCTGGCTTCGGTCATTTGCATACACTTTCTACGTGAAAAAGCCCATATACATAATCCCTTAAAAAATAATAATGATTCGGCCACTCAGTCCACGACTGTTTGTGGGACGCTGCTGTGCGCAATTGGCTGCCGCGTTTCGCCCACAAAACACACAGTCAATTCACTTTACAGCATATTCTGTGAAGCGCTTTGAGACGTCTCAAAGAGGTGAAAAGGCGCTTTATCAATTGCAAGGATTATTATACTGTCGTACGACTGTGGGTATAACCCTCACCTCACAGTGTGTACATTACTTACTGCTGCAAAAATTGTCAGCTACAGTGAAATGCAAAAAAAAGTTAAAAAAAAACTAACAATATATATTTTTTTCATTAAATATTTTTTGACAATTGTTTTTTAGTTGTTTTATTTAATTTTTATAAAGTATCGATCGCTCTGATACCTGGTCGGAACACCGAAAGGCTGATGGTTTTTAATATTTTTAATTTTATTTTTTAAGGTTAAAAAAAGAGAAGTATTTCTCGCCGACAAAATGCAGTCAGAATACAGTCATTTGGTACAGAACAAAATACTTTGTGTGTCCATTTAGATAAATCAAAGCTCTTTTCAACGAAGCGAAAAATTCAACACACCCCAAGTCTGGGCAAACCTTAGAAATAAAACGCGCACCTTTCGCTATTCACTCGCTCCTCTCTTTCTCTGCTCAAGACATTCACTGACCCACTCCTGTTCGAAATTATATTCATATCTCACCAGTAACTTTAATTTTAGGGGAGAGTTTACCTCTTTTTGTGTGTGTGAGAGTCTGTGTGTAGTTTGTTACAGAAGAGGAGAGAAATATTATTGTTGCGCTTTTTTGAATGAAGCAACATTAATTCTCAATAATTTATTTGTATATATATATATTCTCCTCCTTGGCTCCTACTCCCTCTCTCTCTCTCTCTCTCTGTGATTGCTTTTAGTATTGGTCTGACACCCAGTCAGAACCCCAAGGGTGATTATTTTTAAGTCTCCAAAAGAAATTAAATGAATAAAATAAGTAGTCGTTCACCTAACAAAATCCACAGTCACTGCACCTCGTGGTAAATCGTGTGAAGCGCTTTCAGACGTACAAGGGCATTGCATTAAATCTTGATAATCATGAGTATTATTATTAACTATTAAGATTTTTTTATTATTATTATCTTTTAACTACAATCGTCAGCTGTATGTAATATCTTAGAGTCGACAGTCTCTTAAAATGTCTCTCCATTGGTATATAATAACTGGTGACTTTATGGCCGGGCGAGGGATAACATTATTATTTGTCACAATAAAAAACCTTGTGAACAAATCTTGTATTTATACGCAGATATGTATATGTGTGTATGTGTGTGTCAGTAAGTGCATATATGTGTGTCTGTATATGTGTGTGTGTGCGTGCATGTATATGTGTGTATAAGTGTATGATGTGTATGGAGGTGTGTGCATGTATGTGTGGGTGTATGTGAGTATATGTATATTTATGTGTGTGTATGTATGTGTGTATGTATGTGTGTGCATGTATGTGTGTATGTATATGTGTGTATATGTATATTTGTGTGTGTGTGTGTGCATGTATGTGTGTGTGCATGTATGTGTGCATGTGTGTGTGTAAGTGTATGGAGACTTTAGTCAAATTTCAGCTGTTGAATATTTCATGTTGATTTGCTCCTCCTTTATAGTTCTGTCAATACTTGTTCATCTGAGACCAAACCCCCCCCAGGAGCTCAATGTCACTCCACTATTTATGCTCCAATTTCTCTTGATATTTCCCCCTGATCTAATTTGCAATATGGGAGGTTATCATTTAGCATTTTAAAAGCAGAACCTCTTTATATATATATAAAATCTATATCATTTAAAAATAAATTGCAACCTGTGCAAACCTTAGAAATAAAACGCGCACTTTCGTTATGTTATTTGCACCCCCTCCTCTCTCTGTATGTATATATATATATTTACACATACATATTTATATTTAAACATCACAACAACACAAATGCGACACAATTAATAAAACATATAATTTCCCAAAATGTATATATATTATTTTTTAACTACGAAAAGGTATTTAACTGTTTGGACGGAAATAAGCAAATGTTTTATTGTTTTATTGTTAATCCCGATGCTTTGCTTTTCTCTCCCCCCCCCCCCCACCCCACTAACAAACCATCCACAACACAAGAAAATACACCCTTATTTCCCACTGATTCGCAGGCAATAATTATTCGAATAATCCCTCTCTTTTTTTTATTATTATTAACACTGAGTTTGCTCAGAACTGCTTTTTATAATGTGTTTTATTTATTATATGTATTTCTTTGGCGAAAGATGTCGAGGGAATGTGTGTGTGTGTGAAAAGTGTCGATTGTAAAATGCGCTATTATTCACATTAATTTTAATCCCAAAAAGGCTTGTTTAAATGAAACAAACGCGTGTGTTTATTTCTGTTCGACCAATACATTTTCGTATTTTCAAATAACATATAGTATATGTTTAAAAAATATATATTTTTAATAGTATTTGATTATATTTTTATTTATAGTATACATATATTAAAAACATATTTTTATTAATAGTGTATATATATTAATATATTTATTAATAGTGTATATATTAAAAATATATATTTATTGGTGTATATATATATTAAAATATATGTTTATTAATAGTACCACACTTTTTTGTTGTGATGTTTAACTCTTACAAAATGTAATGTGTAATGTAACTGAGGCAAACTAAACCCATTTGGAAATATCTTACTTTGCAAGATATATATTTTACAAAAACAGCGAATTTGGGTTTTTTGACCTCACCCCCNACTCCTCCCCAATTTCTCACTCTGAAACCTACAAAAAACAGGGGTGAAAAAAAAACCCCTGGACTATCTGACTGAGTTGGAATCACTTTAACGACTTTAGACATTAAAACTTTGGAAGTAATAATCTTTGCATTTGACACAGCGCTTTATCACGTCTTCAAGACGTCTCAAAGTGCTTCACAGGATACACTGTAAAGTGAATTGTCTGTATATTTTGTGGACGAATATTGCAAATGAATGTTTAGTCCCTAACATACAGAGAATTAGTAGCGAGTTTTGTGGGCGAAACAAAATAGAAAGAGAAAGAGAGAGAGAGAGAGCCTAAATTTGACATCAAAATTGTCTTTAAAATGCCGGGAGATTTCCTTCCTCTCCTTTGGAAATTGACAATAATTCACATTAGCTTCTGGTGATGTGTGTGAGAGTGTGTGAGAGAGAGAGAGAAATCCTTGGCTTTTTTGCACTGTCTTGAGCATCCCCTTAGCTGCGACATTGCAGACGTAGTTTAGTTTGTTTTGGGCCAGATTTGAGTGGGGTGGGGAGGGGGGGAGGGAGTTGGGGTGAGGTGGGGGATGCGGGGGAGAGGTTATTAACTCGGGATAAACTGGTAACTGTGACTGACTGAGAAGAACCTGCATCCCCAACAAGAATAACTTGGCAGTTACACAGCACCCCTCACGCAGGGTAATGTCCCAGAACACTTAAGCGCTTAACACTGGCTTCCAGTTAAGGCGTTCTGGGGCACTGTATGGGGATAAGAGAAGCTCTCTCTCCCCACCCCCTCTCTCTCCTTCTCACCCCCTCTCCTCTCTCTTTTTCTCTCTTCCTCTCTCTCCCAGTCTCTCTCTCGATACCCCTTTCTCTTCCTCTCGCTCCCTCTCCACCTCTCTCTCCCTCTCCATATCTCTCTCCCCTCTCCATTTTTCTCTTTCTCTCTCTCCCCTCTCTCCCTCTCTATCTCTCCTCTTTCTCTTATTTCTCTCTGTCTCTGTCTGTCTGTCTGTCTGTCTGTCTCTCTCTCTCTCTCTCTCTCCCACCAGTCAGTCTTGTCCCATTCTCCAATATCTGTCAAGACGCTAAGTGGCCACTACCATTGCCCAGTGAAACAAGACCTTTGTAATTTGATGTTCCACTTTAGAAAGGAAAACAACATTCCTGCCACTTAACGTGGGACTTTACACCGGTCATCAACACACACACAGCAACCCCCACCCCCCCCCAACCCCCCACCCCTTCCCCTCCCCTCCCAGTGCATTCATTCCAGAGAGCAGAGAAATTTCATTAAAAACAAATCCCTACCCCTCCTTGTTGCATGTATTTATCGTTGCCCAGGCTAACGTATCTATATTTTTATGCGGTCACTGTCTGTCCGCCACTTTGAAGCACTCCGGGACGCTACCCCACGTGAGGGGCACCATATAAATGCCAGTTGTTGTCGTTAGATTAATTAGAATTAGAATCCGTGCATTTTTAATTTGAGAAGCCATTTTCTTTATCGGTGGGGGTGGGGGGAGCACGTTGGGGGGCTGTGGGGTGGGGGGGCTGTGGGTGGGGAGGGGGCAAACCATGCTGTAGCATGGCACGAAGTTACATTCGGAGACGCTGGCCTTATGGCTGAGACCATGGCGAATCGATCGGGTGTCGTGAGTGATGTTTGGAAAAGGTAACCTGTGACCTGAGATGGAGAACAGATGAAAGATGATCTTACAAAAAACAACACCACGCCTGTCGCTTTTTATAACAGAGTCCTCTAGCTCAGTGGTTAGAGCTCTCGCCTCTCAAACGAGAGGGCCCGGGTTCGATTCCCGGGCAGGGCGAAACCTGAGGCAAGTTTCCTTACTCCACACGCCTCTGTTTACCCAGCAGTAAGTAGGTTCCCGTTTGTTAGTCGTTTGGCAGATCGCTTTCCGGGTGTAATAATCCCTTCAAATAATAAATAAATAAATATTTTAGTCTTTGAATCCACGTCTATTTGTGGGGTCGCTGCTGCGCACAATTGGCTGCTGCGTTTCGCCCACAAAATACACAGTCAGTCCAGTCTACGGTATGTTCCGTGAAGCATCTTGAGACGTGATAAGGCGCTGTATCAGATGCGAGGATAACTATTATTATTATGATTATTATTTCCCACCCGACCTGATTTTCAGAACCGAGGAGGCTCTGTGCGCATGGGCTCCTGCCCGCTCACGATCAGATGTTCCCCCACCCCCACCCGCTCCCCTTCCCCTCACCCCACCCACTCAAGTCACCCCAGATTCCTACTTCACATTTCAGAGAGGATTAGGAACCTGTAATCGCTTGCTCCGCACGGTGTTTAAGGGGTTGAGAGAAAGGGGAGAAGAAGTCAAGAGTCAAGCAGGGAATGTGCCATTGGCCTCATTAGGACAGCGACATGGCTCTCTAACACCAGAGACCGAGGCTAGGAATGTGGAGGGATGGAGGTTAGCCACCCGCCCGCTACACATCAGACACACTGAATTCCTTCCTCTAATCCAATAGAACTACAAAAAAAGACGGAAGGTTTGTTTTGGGTTTTCCCTGTTTAAAAAACAAACATTTCTCATGCTGTTCCCATTAAACGGGGGAGACTTCATTTCGGACCGATTTTCAAGGTATTTATGCACGGGTATTTCAAGTGATTTGGAGAGAGGATTATGTGGTTACAACGTCAAAGGGAGTTGGGGTGGTGGGGGGTGGGGGGGAACGTACAGCAGAGGTTATAGCCGCCACAGATCTGTGTCTGTGAAATTGTAAGGCAACAGTTTAATAAAAAAATAAATGAAAGTGTTGGATAAAAGACCACACTGCTCAGTGCACGGCCTGCATTCCAGGAAACACACAGTCACTCTTAAGGCATTGTTCAACGTTAGAAAAGCTTTCTCATAGACTGACCGCACAGGGGCTGCCGTTGTTTGCTTGTTGTGTTGCGGGATTGTAGCTGTCGGCCCGTGGGCTCAGTCCGTCGCGCACTCGCCTCTCAAGTCAAGATTTTGTTTCTAGTTACTCCCTCCCAGTGTCCTGGCCGACATTCCTCCACATAAAATCGATCACTCACTTCACGGCTGTTTGTGGGACACTGCTGTGCGCAACTGGCTGCCACGTTTCGCCCACAAAATACACAGTCACTGCACTTTACAGCGTATGCTGTGAAGTGCTTTGAGACGTCTCTACGACGTGATGAGGCGCTGTATCAAATGCAAGGATTATTACCTCATAGCTGTTTGTAGGACGTTGCTATGTGCAAATTGACGGCTGCGTTTTCCTGTTAACACACAGTCACTACACTTTACAGTGATTCCTGTGAAGTTCTCTGAGACGTCCCCCTCATGTGTAAGCCGCTATTTCTACTGAGGTTCATCACCATTCTCCACAGTGACAGCACGACTGTACCCAGCAAAACAAAGCCATTCAACTAACTTATTTCCTCGTTGAGCTACTGTTCACCATCTTCCTGTATGTTATTTTTTGCCACAGCAATAATAGTCCCACCCGTGTGTTTGATGTATCGCCTGATGTCAAAACATCGCAAAGTGCTTTGTGGTGTAACACAGTCAGGTTACAGGGATTGTTGTAGGCAAAAGTGGCAGCAAAGTCACACATGCAAAGATTTAACGTGACACCACAATTCGTGTCCCGTTAGCTGCTCTCTCCTCACACCGTCACACGTTCTCTCCGAGACTTGAGAACCCTCGATTGTGGAGTCCTGGAGCTCAGAGATTAGAGCACTCGCCTCGCAAGCGAGAGGACCTGGGTTCGATTCCTGGGCAGGACAACACCTTAGGCAAGTTTCCTTTCTCCACACGCCTCTGCTTTTACCAGCAGTAAGTAGGAACCCGGTTGTTAGCCGATTGGAGGATTGCTTTTCCGGGAGGTAATAATCCCTTCAAAATAAATAAATAATAATAATTTGATCACTCGATCCATGACTGTTTGTGAGACACTGCTGGGCGCAATTTTGCCCACGAAATACACAGTCAATCCATTTACAGGGTATCCTGTGAAGCGCTTGGAGACGTCTCGAAGACGTGATAAGGCGCTGTATTAAACGCAAGGATTATTATTATGATCCGTGAGTCTCAACGTTGGCATCCATTGCTCGCGCACTAACTTGTCTTCATTAAACAAGCGAAACCCCACCTCATGATATTGAGGGTGTGAAAGTTCGGCTGTTTTTTCTCAGAAAAGATTTTTTCATTCAAAAGCCGAGTCTCGGGATCTGACCTGTCAGATTGGTCACTGGCTACACGGTTGTTTGCGAGATGTCACCGTGAGCGCGAATTGACTGCCGTCGCATCGCTTTACAGTAAAATCCTTTGAGACGTCCTCCTGATGTGACCTATTTGTTAGGTTGGGGTATTAAAGGATATGGGGAAAGGACAGGTAACGGGACTTGAGGTACAGATCAGCCATGATCTTATAACCTGGTGGAACAGGCTTGAGGGGCTGAATGGCCTCCTCCTGTTTCTATGTTTCCACGTAAAGGCACTGGGTCAAAATTGTAAGGATTATTATTATTGCCCTCGTTAAGGAATCCGATACCATCTAACTTTGATTCCTTTAGAAATTTAGTAAATTGTGTTTTTTTTAAAATAAAATAATAATAATAAATAAATGAATGTGCTCTACCTTAGGGCCTGTGTCACCTGTTAAGACACAGCCTTGCAAGAAGTGGCTAAATAGCAGGCGTGTGGTTTTAGAAGGCTTTTTGTCATATTCACCCATAAAGTGGCTGCGTGGAGTCCTGTAACATATTGGTTAGCAAGCGAGAGGACCCAGGTTTGATTCCCAGCAGGACAAAACATTGGGCAAGTTTCTTTACTCCACACATCTCTGTTTACCTAGTCAGTAAGTAGGAACCTGGTTGTTAGTCGATTTGCAGATCGCTTTCCCGGGGATAATAACCCCTCCAAAAAAAATGTGGTCACTCAATCCACGACTGTTTGTGGGACGCTGCTGTGCGCAATTGCCACATTTCGCCCACAAAATGCACAGTCAATTCACTTTGCAGTATATTCTGTGAAGCGCTTTGAGACGTCTTGAAGACACAATAAGGCGCTATATCAAATGCAAGGATTAATATTATTATTGACGTTCACTGGGCTGGGTTAGGAATCTTGTGGAGAGCAGAGTTATTTCCGTTCAGCTACTGGAGCTGTAGAAAGGAACCTTCGTTGCATTTATCATCTCATTTACCCCTTGTGGGTTTCATTGACCTCCCGAGACTTACCCCAACGCCCACCCTGCCAACATTTTGAAAAGGATTAAATAAAACCTCTTTTTTTTTACGTTTAATCGGAGATCGTATGAATTTATATAAAATGTAAAAAGAAACACTTTGATGCTATAAACATACATCTGTCGTACTGTATTTGTAAAACTCAGCACTGTTAAAGCACGGCTGAATAATATTTATAGAAGTGTTTAATATTGTCAGAAGGCTTTTAAAAGACCGAGGCTATTTTCGAGAACGTTACTTAAGTTGGCTGTCAACTACTTGAAATGGCCAAACACTGGGCAAGGTGGTGATTTAAAAAAAAATCTATAATAAAAATAACCCTTGCATTTGATATAACGCCTTATCACGTCGTTGAGACGTCTCAAAGCCCTTTGCAGGATATATTGTAAAATGGTTTGACTGTGTGTTTTTGCAGAACAAAATCTACATGAGAAAATACATTAAGGAACTGCATCAATTCATTGTTTTTTTTATCACCCTTTCGTCATAAAAATATTTATTATTTTTACACTCCATTCATTCAAAGACACTCCGAGTCTTATTTTCACCCCTTTTCCAAAAAAAAGGCCTTCGGTCAGTCCACTTTAAATCTTTTTATTTTTGCACCTTATAGTAAGTAATGAGGAATGACAATTAAAGTAAGCCCAGGGAATAGGAATCAAAGGGGTGAAATTCCCTTCGGCAAAGGTTTCACTGTTTGAACACAGCCACCCAAACTCAAACCAGATGTTGGGAGTTCATTTACTGTGAGCACCATTGCCAAAACTCTACACAGCCCCTGAGCTCGCTCACTCTGTCTCTCTCTCTCTCGCTCTTTCTACCTCCTCCCTATTTAACTAAGATTGAAATCTGTGCGGCACAGATCACGCTAATGAAAATAGTCAGTTTCTTAAGTGCTGGAACTCTGTAAACCCTGCTCTGCGATAATTACTGCCACTCCCAATCAGCCTTCCCGAGAGATGGCCAGTACGTTTTAAAGAGAGTTGCACTCGGAGAGAGAGAGAAAAAAACGAAACAAATTTATCATTACCCCACTCACTGCTTGTTCCCTCATTGTTACCCAATATCTCACGCAACCCTGGACATAATTTAGCTGCAGAGAAAGTTTGAGCGCAACTACGCAGGCTGTGTGGGACACCGCTGTTTATTGACGGCTGGGTTAGGAGATGGAGAAGAGGTTTCTCTGAATGTCTATATTTTTTTCATTGCGATCATATACAACACTAACAAATTGCAGTTATATAGCGGCCTTCACGTGGGAGGACGTCTCAAGGGGCTGGACAGTGAGGGGTTTGCACCCGAGCTGGGGGTTGGGATCAGAGAGGGGTGGCGGGCAGGTGGGGTGGGGGGTGATTGGAGTGGAGGAAGATGACCGAAGGCGTCGTCCATCAAAAAGGTCTTGAGACCGGCCTTGAAGGAGGTAAGGG